GTGATGGGGCTGGTGCCTTCCCCTGATCAGCCCGTTCGACTCCCACAAAGGGTGGCCAGACTGTGGCTTAGGCCCACTCCCCAAGGGAGCAGGGAGCAGGTAGTAGGACATCCCCTAGGGCTCCCAGTATGTGATAGGGGGCAAGCTGGGCTGAGGGAACCCCCTCCCCAGTGCACAAATTTTTGTGCACCGGGCCCCTAGTAATAATAATAATAAAGAAACAGAAAGAGATTCAATATGGATGGACTGCAGATCTGAGGGTGGATGGGTGGGCAGGGCAAGGCCAGGTAGGCTGGGTGAAGGAGCTTGGATATTTTCCTAAAGCAACAGGGATCCACTGGAATCAGGGGCGTGCCATGAACACATCTCTCTTCTAGAAAGAGTATTGGATTACTGGTGGCCTAGGGTGTGGAAAGTGAATTAAAGGGAGCAGGAAAGCCCAGTGAGTAGACAATTACAGAAACCCAGGTGGGATGAAGGAGCCTAGACTGAGATCATGAAATGAGTGCACTGGAGAAACATTTAGATGTGATTTGATGGGATCGAACCTGGGGCTCAGGAAAAGCTGACACTGACTGAGATAGAGAACAATGACATTCATTTTTGGACCTGCTAAGCCAGTTCTTCCTCCCTCCCTCCCTTCCTCCCTCCCTCCCTCCCTTCCTCCCTCTCTGTCCCCTTCTCCCCTCATCCTTCCCTCCCTTCTTTCCTCTTTCTCCCTCCCTCTTCTCTCCCTCCCTCCCTTTCTTCCCTTCCTTCTTTCCTCCCTCCCTCCTTCCACCCTTTCTTCCCTCTTTCCTTCTTTCCCTTCTTTCCTCCCCCTCCCTTTCTTTCTTCCTTCCTTTCCTCCCTTCCTCTCCCCTGCCCTTTTATGCCCCTCCTCCTCTCCTCCTCTTCCTTTTCTTTCCCAGACTCATTCCACTCCATTTCTCTCTCCCGCTCTCTCCTTTGAACATATATTCAGGCAAGCCATAAAGAAGCAATACCAACTGAGTGACATCTCCTCTCTCAGGCCTCTCTGCTCACTGCCCTTCATTAAACAACTGCATTCTTGCCTGATATTCTATTTGTGTTCTCATTACTTTTCTCACTGTCAGTTAATACACCTATAACTTTCTTTGTACTTTTTCTGTGAAAGTACAGACTTCCTTATCTTACTTCAGAAACGTTCCTTCCAGAACCTTATGCTGAAGGAAACAAAAATGAAGTAAATAAACAGAAACTTTCCAGGCCTGTAGGGCAATGTCCTTGTTTGTAGACTATCTATGTAAATGTGAATGGGAACTAGCAAACCCGAATTTCAAGTATATAAAGTAAACAAAGTGAACTAATTCTAATGTTTAGAATATATTCAGATGTCCTATTGAGCCCAAACTCCTAACCCTAGTTCCGTGGGGCTGTCTACTTCTTGTCCCTTTCACCTTCCAATAGTGGAATCCTGTGAATGTGCATCCCATTGACATGTGTTTTAGAAGGATATTCGCAGCACTCCTTTCCTCCAGGAATCGAACCATGACCTCCTGGTTCATAGGATGACGCTCAGCTACCGAGCCACACTGCCAGGCCTGATGCCTCCTTTAAAATTTTCTTTTTATTGTGGTAAAATACACATAACATAAAATTTTTCATTTTTAACCATTTTTATGTATATAGTTTGGTGGCATCAAGTACATTCTCATTGTTGTGCAGCCATCACCACCATCCATCTCCAGAACTTTTTTCTTCCCAAACTGAAAATTCTGTCCCCATTAAACAGTAACTCTCCATTTCCCCCTCCCCCAACCAGCCGCTAGCAACCACCGTTCTGCTTTGTGTCTCTATGAATTTGATGACTCTAGGTACCTCATAAGTGGAATCATACAATATTTGTCCTTTCGTGACTGGCTTATTTCACTTAATATCCTCAAGGTTCATTCATGTTGTAGGATGTGTCAGAATCTCCTTCCTTCTCAAGGTCAAATAATATTCCATTGTGTGTAATTATACCACATTTTATTTATCTGCCCATAGTTGGACTCCTGGGTTGCTTCTATGTTCTAGCTGTTGTGAATAATGCTGCTAGGAGCATAAGTGTACAAGTATCAATTTGAGTCCTTGCTTTCAATTCTTTTGGGTATATACCCAGAAGTGGAATTGCTGGATCATACAGTAATTCTATGTTTAATTTTTTTGAGCAGCTATCATATTGTTTTCCACAGCAGTTATACCATTTTACATACTCATCAATAGTGCACAAGGGTTCTAGCTTCTCCACACCCTCTACAACACTTAATATTTTCTGCTGTTTTGATAGTAGCCATTCTAATGGGTGTGAAGTGGTATCTCATTGCAGTTTTGATTTGCATTTCCCAAATGATTAATAATGTTATAGGGAAATGCAAATCTTTTCATGTGATTGTTATCCATTTACATATATTTTTTGGAGAAGTGTCTATTCAAATCCCGTGTCCATTTTTAATTAGGTTGTTTGTTGAGTTGTAGGAGTTTTTTATATATTCTGGATATTAATTCCTTAACAGATATATGATTTGCCAACATTTTCCCCATTCCATAGTTCCATTTTCACTCTTCTGTGCCCTTTGATGCACAGAGATGGCCCCTGAAATTTAATACCATGGGTACCTCCCTTGCCTCATCCTAGTCTTGGCCCTGATATTAGTCCTTGTCTCATCCACACGCATTTGACAAACTTCAAGTTTTGAAACAATCAAGATGACACTTGGGTTTCTGAAAGTTTAATTAAGCACAGAATTTCATTCTTCCACCCTTTGATAACTTGAAGTATCCAATTTTGAATATTGTTTATGAAGCATAACCTAGCCTATCCTAGGTTACAGGAGATGAACAGCCTCAAAAGAAAGGTTGCTGAGAAGACTCCCACTGTGCCATCCCCAGAAGCTTTTAAACTGTTATTAAATTACTGCAATATGCTAGGCAATGTTCTATTTTACATGTTAACTCCCTTAATCCTTACAATGGCCTTATAAGGTGCATGATATTTGCACCCCCATTTTATACATGAGGGCAGGGACAGAGGTTGAATAAATTGTTGAAGGCAATGTGACTAATAGGTGGCGGAAATAGGATTTGAATCATGGAAGCCTGATTCCAGATTCTGTACTTTAACCACTTAAAAACTGTAGCTGATGCATCATCTTCCCCATATTTAATTTTATGAGACTGACGCACTGCCTACTGCGCTAAGAGGGCAACCTCCCCATATTTAATTTTAAAACTTATTTCAGACTTTGGCATCTTCCAGTGCAGTTGATTTCCAGAGAAGTGCATTTTCAGGCTTCACTTAAGACATTGTACCTCCTCTCCTAGCATTTTTTTCCTTCTCTTGGCTTACAGAAATGATTTATATTCTATCCTCACCTGAGCAAGATCTGAGCCTCCTGTAATTCCATCCATTCCTACTTAACACTCTATCCATGGCTATATCCAGGAGGTAAAATCAGGGCTGACAATGAAACCCCAGGCATATTGTGTTAGAGTAATAATGTTCAATCTCTGTCCCTCCTACCCCAAAAGACTTGGAGAGCTAATAGAAAGCTACACAGGACTCAAGTACAGAAATACAAAGCCCACCTGTCTGGCTGAGAGCCAGCAAATGGGTGCCATCTTAGTAGGCTCAAATTTTCAGCAGGTTATACCTCTCAGGGAAAAAAATGACTCATGTTCTCCCATATTGTCTTTGACTAATGATGTATTCAATGTCATCCCATATTTTTTCACCATCATTGAATTTGATAGATTAGGTAAAGTAGCCAAGCCCAGCCCATGAAATAGGATGTCTCATTGAATCAAATCTATCTAGAAAAGACTCACTTTTGTAGGTTTTTGGAACACCTGAGCTATTGAAAAGTATCCCCCATGAGTTCTTTTTGTTTGCCTGGGCTCTAGTATTCATTGATAATGAACAACATAAACTGATGAACAAAAACAGATCCAGAAACAGAGAAGCATTGATCAGACCATCAAACCTCAGAGGGAAGGCAGGGGAGGGTGGGGGGAAGGGGGAGAGATCAACCAAAGGACTGGTATGCATACATACAAGCATAACCAATGGACACAGACACTAGGAGGGTGAGGGCATGAGCGGGGAGGTGGGGGGACAATGGGGGGTTAAGGACACATATGTAATACCTTAATCACTAAAGAAAAGAAAGAAAGAAAGAAAGAAAGAAAGAAAGAAAGAAAGAAAGAAAGAAAGAAAGAAAGAAAACAGCTTTTCTTCCTACTGTCCTAATCATTGTGGCTTGTCATTTTTTGCAGGGTCCTATGGATCTACTCTGAGACTGGTATGTGGGTGTATCCTGTGTTTGCCAAACTCAGCCCAGTGGGTCTAGCAGCCTTCTTCTCTCTCAGCTACATCTTTATTGCCAGCATCTACCTACTTGGAGAGAAGCTCAACCACTGGCAATGGGGTCAGTTTATTTCTATTTTACCTGCACTCTTCTTCCTTGCCCTCTCTCCATTCCTCCTAGAAACAAGAGAAACTAGTTCAAAGCAGAAAGCAGTGACCTTGATGCCTTTGCCAAAGACTCAGATGGGTCTTATCAAGATAGGCAAAGGAAAAGCCTGGGGGAAGTTCATACTTCCTCAAAGAACCCCATCAAATGATCTCCCCTCCTCCCATAAACCTTTAAGGTTAGAAATTATCTTTAGAGAATTTAGGACCCGGAGAGCAAGGTGTCACCATGCCTGGCATGAAAAAAATGGATTCAGGGTCTTCCTCCCTTAAGTAAGGGCTTGAAGGATACAATATGTTTAAATGTCAAGGTTTTTTGTTGTTTGTTTTGCTTTGGTTTGGTTTGAAGGAAATGACCCTTTAAGCTCTTCCAACCTCAGCAGTGCCTTCCGGGATGAGTTCCCATCCCTTTCCCATTAGGTTGCTTTTCAACCTTTAGTGAAGCATTTACCAGATAAGATCACATCCTGTACTTGAGATTGAAATTCTCATTTAGACAGGGTCTTGAGCAATGTGAATATGTCAGCAAGCTAAGCTTTCTAATTATAGGTGGGTAGAACCATGTTGCTTCTTCATAAGAAAAAATAATCTTAACTTAGTTGATTTTAAAATGGAAAGTTTTATTCTCCTCCCTGCTTCTCCCACCACCCCAATGCCCAAAATATTATTTTGTTGGAAAATTAACCACTAAAAAGTCAAATTGCACAATACCCATGATTTGTTTCCTACCCAAAGAGAAGAACAGGCACTCTACCCTGATTTTGTATATAAGGAAGGCAAGAGTCACAAACAGTCCCCCACGTCACACACCCACATGCCATTCTGTTCTATCAAAATAGAAGTGGCATCTTCCACCCAATTTATGAACTGGTGTGAAAACATCAGCCGTGTATGAAAAAAAACCACAACAGTTTCAGAAGGCTCAGTACAAAAGAGTATATTTCTGAGAGGATATTGGGACCCTGGATAAGCAATTTGTCTTTTTCACATGTTTTCTACTTGTGAAGAATTTAACTGGTTAAGAAAGTCCCAAAGGTAATAACCTCCTTGAAAGCACTTAAAAAATGGAATACTAAAAATTAATCCCAAAAGCAGGACTCCAAATCACAGGAAACTCCAGGAAAAAAAAAATGTGTTGACATTTTAAATGTGTTGATAGCTAATTCTAACTTATTTTGGCTCCTTGAAAATCAGGATAAAGATTTCTGATGCCTTCCCCAATCTATCTTTATAAAAGAAAAGAAAGAAAGAAAGAAAGAAACAAGTCTATCTAAAATTTGGCAGATAAAAATGTGCAGATAAAAAAATATTGAGCTTAGAGAACAATAACTTTTTTAATCAAATGTATTTAGTTCAATAACAATTAATTTTTAAATTGTTAAACAGTGACTTTGAAACATCCATTGAATTAAAAAACAAAATTTTCACAATATTTAATATTATTGAGTCATTATTTTCAACACCAAGCTTTTTTTAATAAGCCTTGTTGTTTAAGTACTATATCCAATTTTTCACTACAATTAGGTCCCAATGAGCAAACAGGCTAGCATCACCATGTGGGCCTTCATTTACATGTGCATATGTGAATGTTTATATGAGGGATAAGCTATTGTAAATGGATAGAGACTACTTTGTCTCTCCTCTCTCTAGATTTTAACTCCTTAAAAATCGAATAAGTGAAAACTCATTCATGCTAGATGGCATCAAATAGGATTGTAATGTGTTAAATTCAGAACAGATCTTAATTACAAATGGTTGAATAGACATTAAAAGAGTAGATCACTTAAAATTCCAATGGCAGTGAACATTTTTAAATTGTATAAAACTAAACAGAGCTATCTGTACAAACACATGTTCTCATGTCCTAGTGGGCTTAAAACACTCTAAGGCTTCACTCTACTATATGACTTGTGTCAATACCATTATATGACCTCTAATGAGGGCAGCTGCACATCTCAGTTGGGTTCTGGTTAATGCCTGCTGTGCCAATGGGCACATAGTATAGCATTGTCTAGGCTTGGACAGTCAATTGTGTGGATCCTCTATCTTGGGTTCCTCTCCAAACCTTCTGCTTTGGATCTATGGGAACACCTCCTAAGTAGCCACCTACTCTGTCCAAATCCAGGGCTAACCCTACTTTCTCACCTCCTTTCACAGACTGAGATTCCTTGAATGAGAACAGAAATTCAAAGGAGTGCATTGGTGACGTGGTGGGAAGCACTGGTTAGGGAAAAAGCTCTGCTCCAGACTGCCTGGATTCCTATTTTGTTCTTACCACTCACAGACCTGTGACACTACAAAAAGACTTGATGTCTTTTTATTTCACTTTTCTCTTGAGCATCATGGAGAGAATATTAGTACCCACCTCCTAGGATCCTGGAGAACTCTAAATGACTTGGGTAGTGTCAAGGGCCAAGAACAGGGCCTAGCACATAGAGTTAGTCACTATTGCTGTTAATCTCATTCTCCTCCAGCAAAAATCAGAAACCTTCTTGTCTATGTAGATGTTCCAATCCTCCCCTTCTATTTTTTTCATAAATTACCAATTTCCCCAGCCAAGGCAATTAAAAGTAACAACCACCTCACTGAATGCAAATTGACAAGGATGGTGCAGTTCCTGAAGAACTTAATGAGTGAAATAGGAGATCAAGCTAATTCAAGCTAGAATTGTTGGAATCTCTGCTTCTGAAATCCCGAGGCCCAGTATGGCCCCGTTGGGAGTCCTGGACAATAAGCTGACTGCCGCTCTGGCCACACCTATTACATATGGGAGACCTGCCATTTTGGCTTGGAAGCCCATGACCACTCTCCTTACATCCTTGAGGGATATGTTCTGAGGCCTGAGACCACAGATCCTTTCCCTTCTAAGGATAGTTTAGGAGCTGAAAATTCCAATCTGGCCAAGTGACATGGTGATGGTGTCTTGGGCAGAATGACATTAAAACCTTCCTTTAATACTATTTGCTCTAGAGCAATTTGTGGGGGTTTTTTTGTTTGTTTTTAAAGAAGATTTTCATTGTTAAAAGCTGTTTAAAGGCCATATAGTCTACCTTCTTGGTTTTATCCATGAAGAAATCATTTATAAAGTCTGCCTTGCATGTTGTCCCTGATCATTTCATAACAAAAGGATATTATCATGAGATTACTCTTTAGGTATTTCTAAAGCTTTTTTGTCTTTCTTGTCCTAACTTCTTCTCCCTAAGCAGTCCACTCTAGATTATTCCTTATCCCTCTTTGCCTCTTTACCCTCAAGGTTTCTCCAGCCAGTCCTCAGCTCCACCTACTTCCTGCTACTTTTGCACTGTGATGGTACTCATTGGTGCTCAAATCTCATTCCTCTAACACCTCATATCCTCCTAACCATCTGCCTTCTTGCCCTTTTCCAAGCCAACCTGCTGAAACTAGGTAAATATTCTTCGAATTTTCAATTTGAAGTCTAGCAGTAGCTTTTGTGGTTGTAGATACATAGGTGTAAATCTTTGTGAACAGTATTTTTTTTTACTTAGCCCGTGTCCTGGCTACTGGAATAATAAGATGTATAATTACATATACTATCCATAGTGATATTTATTAAAAGAATGGTTCCTTTACCATGCCAGTAGAAAATGTTTGGATCTTGCAGAAGAAGAACATTAAATGTTTGGCCTAAAATATCTCCACTCCTTGGTACTATCTAACGAGGATAAAGAAAGGACTAAAGTCAGGAGTGGACCTAACTCCCTAACTGCCAACTAGGAACTGTTCCACTCAGAAAAACTCCCATCAATGAAGAAAAGGGTGATAACAAACAACATAATTTCCCAATTATGTTGGGAATTCAGAGTTTGAAATCCATTTTGTGAACTGTGTTTGGGTAAGATTATATGATCTATTATTAAGTCAACAGTTTCCTTATCTCTGGCACTATGGAAACATGGTAAGAGAGGAATTCTGAAGAAGCCTAGAAACTGCTCAGCCCCATGAGAATGCAAGACTAAGGACCCACCCCTACTTGTAGAAACAAAAAGAAAACATTGTTTCTGTTATATTCACATCATGTAAGTCTCTACACAATGAAATGACTACTGGAACTCCACACTTTTGGGGCCCGTGCCTTCTCTAGCACAGTGGTAGGTTTGTGAGAATTCCTTTGTGCTCCATCCAGCTGCTTGGAGTTGGATGTGGGAGACTCTGGTCCAGTGGAAGGAGCCACCTGCTCTCTTCCCCCAGAGGAACTCCCACCAATATTTCCACTCCTGCTTCTGCTGCTTCTCTCTAAGCCTTCATGTTCTGTTGTGTTTCTTAAATGGAGATGGAGTCTCCAATCCTTGGCACCTGGGGTTGAAGGAGTGAGGTTATGATTATAGTTAGACTCAAAGCACTAGGGGTTGGTAAACAACATGGGTAATGAAAGCTTTAGGAGCCCTCAGAATGACTACAAGGGGAACAAATTTGAAAAGTTTATATTGGCCAAGGTCTTGAACCTGAGGAAATAAATGTGCTATTTAGCTGAAAAAATTATTCATTAATGGCCCAAAGTATATACTTCAGAAAAGAGATGGTGTTTGTACTTATAGACCTAATATAGATGACCTAATTGGGGAGGAGAGAATTCATGTCAAAAATAAATAATAAGTAGAAGCATAAATGAAAAGAACATGAACCCTGTAAAGCTGGATAAATTTGTAAGGCTTTGCTGGAGTGACTGGAAGTGGTTTGAACTGATGAGGATGACAAGAACAAGGACGAGGACTGTCCTTAAGAATGTAGAGAGACATGAATGCACGATGGCCATGAGAGCTGTTGTGATTAGCAGCTGGCTGTCCTAGAAAATCAGTGTGATGACTGGGCCACAGCAGGACTTCAAGTTATCAGTCACTAAAGCCTCTGAGAAGGGGAGTTCCAGTGACATAAATTAGGAAAAGATTTAGAGATTACTGTTAGGGATATCATTTAAGGGGGGTGGGGGGAGTCATGGTTTAAAGGGTAAAGCCTGAAATTAGGAGCATGAGGCTGCTGTGGTCCTACAGAACCAGATCTAACAGGGCTCTAACTTCCAGAAGGAACAAGAAGAGACTGAGTTGAAAAAATTTTCAAAGTAGGATTGGTAGCATTTGCAAATAGACAGGATAATGAGTTAGTAAAGTTTCAAAGCTTATGCAAAGATTTATGATCATTACATATGGAGGTAACAACTTGTTGGGTGAATGGAAGTCATTCTAGTAGTCTAAGGCTATAATTTCAGCTGAATAAAGACCCTTTAATGAGCTTATTAAAAACTAATCAATATGCAAGTACTTTTATTCCCAGGCTGATAAGTTGATTTAGTGAGAGGTCACAGAATGACCCCTAATTAGGTGAATATCCACTCTTTTATTTCCTCTCTAATTTGATGTGGTCTCTTTGTCTCCATATGCAAAGTCTCCAAGTTTTTTGATGGATTGTGTACAGCCCTGCGAACAAGTGGCCAAAGCAACAGCAATCAGTGGCTCATGTTAGATATATAGAACCACATGAAGTCCAAGGGCATCATTGGTCAACTGGCTGGCTATGAGCTAAGCACCAACAGGGGACAGCAGAGTGGTTTCTTGCTGTTGTGATAGTGGTGTATTTTTTTTAGAACTCCTTGAAGGACATCCTTTTGCCTTGGAAAAGTCCTTGACTTTCCACTGCCTGAAGTCAGGGTGAATGTCAACCTACAGGGAAACCCTGAAATCTCTCTCTGTTCTTGTTTGCACAGGTGACATGAGGCAGCCAAAGAAGAAGAAGTGATTATATGCTGTTTTCCAAGAACTAAAAAGGAAGAAAACACAAGAGGGTGTTCTTTTCCCATCTTTTTGGGGTTTTTTTGTTTGTTTGTTTGTTTTTTTGGTGTGGGGAGGTGGTGGAGAATCATAAGAAAGTAAAAAGGACAGGAAACAATATTTAAATTAAAAATAGGGTTATGCAGGTAGCTCAATTTGAGGACTCTTGGGTTTTAAAAGGCCATGCAAAATTAACTCCTGCTGTCTCAGAATTTGTGACCTTGGTCTGAACTCTGAAGGGTATTGTCTGTGGTCAAAATCTGACCAGACCCCCCCCCAAAAAAAAACAAAACAAAACAAAACAAACAAACACACACACACACACACACAAAAACCTCATAAACTCAGAGTTAGAGAATGTTTACACAGAGAAAGAATTTTGGATCATTCAACATCTTCACTTTACAGAAGAGGTTGCCGAGAATGTAGATGAGAAGTTACCTGCATGAGGCCAAAGAGTTCGTGTCAGAACTGAGCCAGGGGCTTTTGTCTCCCAGATCTTTTAATTTCCAATCCTGTGCCATGTTTTTAATAATCCCAACTTTCTTAAAAACAAGCATTTTCATAAGCTAGTTATTTTCATGGATTTCTCATCTATTTTTCCCCCTCAATCTAGACAGAAGTGTAGGGAGATTCTACCTGGTATGGTATAATGGCAAATTACTTGGGGAAATGAGAAAATCAGTTATAAAAATATTAGGAAATCTTTCCCCCTTGTGAGCAAGCATTCAGGGCAGGTATAAACACTGAACATAATGACATTGTCAAAATCTCTTCCGTTCAAGTATTGATTAACTTGTCAAATAAATGTTGTACATTTTACTTGGGGAACAGTCTAAGTGGGAAGTGATATGATTATGAGGACTGCTGAGATTGCTTTGGTACAAAGTACTTTGCTAAGTTAGTTTATGATTTAACAAAGCTGATTGTCAGCAAGCACATTCATGAACCCTGCTTCGATTTTCCTAATGGAATTTTCCAGGTCTGTTTTTGTAAAGAAATATGTGGTGGGTAAAGATAGTCAAATCTATTGGTGTGTCAAAGGCCCAGGGGCATTGGGGTGTGGGCACCAGAATAAATTGTACTTGAGCTTCCCAACCAAACATGATACAGGAGAAATTTGGTAAAAATGGGTAAAACCTGGTAACACTGTGCCTGGGACCAAATTAAATCTTGATTGCTACATAACTGACCATTGTGCGATATTTGTTCCAACTCCAGAAATACCTCAAAAATACCTAGAGTGGTCTTGCAGGGTTAGGGAAGAGAGCAGACTATACAGTAAGGCAGCAGTAGAAGGGAAGACTAGGACAGACACCAGGAAACCTGCCTGATCCCTACTCCTCTACTCTCATATAAATAGGAGCCTCAAGTCCTTCTGGATTGAGCTGGGACACCCCCTCTTTTCCTGTACCTGCTGCTTCTTGACTGCTCCAAGCACCTGGTCTCAGCAGGAGCCCAGAGCAGTTGTCACCGTGGAAATTCCCCAAATCTGAAGCCTGCAGGGGATCACCCAAATTTTCCACACCCTAAAGATGACTCTGGCTGCATACTTCTCACAGTCATAGTAAGCTCTTGGCTGGAATGAGCCTGCAGATTTCTATTTGTGGCTTTACTGTCCCTAGGACCAAATTAAGCCTTGATTGCTACATGACTGGCCATTGTGCAGTATCTATTCCAACACCAGAACTACCTCAGATTCATTTCCCATTGAGCACACAATGCTTCCTTAGTGCTGATGTAGCTTTGAAAAAGAGAAGCAACAAAACACCCAGGAAGAACATTGATTAAACATTCATTAAAGGGTATGCAGTGCCCATATCAGGCTGTGTTAAGCTATTAGTGTGTAAAAAATATACAAATGATTACATACCAACAATAATATTTTTTACATTTTATTTTATTGTTTAAAGGATTACAAATAGTAGTACATATGTCTCCTTTTTCCAAAACCCCATTGACCTCCTCCCACCCCCGCCTCCCTTACACCCCGGCAGTATCTTGTATCCATTGGTTATGCTTATATGCATGCATACAAGTCCTTTGGTTGATTTCTTACCACCCACCCCAGCCCTCCCCTGTCCTCCTGCTGTAGTTTGACAGTCTCTTTGATGCTTCTTTGCCTCTGTATCTATTTTTTGTTCATCAGTTTATAATTCTCTTTATTATCCACAAATGAGTGAGATCATGTGGTATTTATCTTTCTCTGACTGACTTATTTCACTTAGCATAACACTCTCCAGGTCCATGTTGTTGCAAATGGTAAGATTTCATTCATTTTTATGGTTGAGTAATATTCCATTGTATACTAGATGTACCACAGTTTTCTAATCCACTCATCTGATGATGGGCATTTAGGCTGTTTCCAAATCTTAGCTATTGTAAATTGTGCTGCTATGAACACAAGGGTGCATATATCCAGCAATAATATTTGTATCATGTCATGTAATTTACAACAACATTCACCTCCATGATCTCATTTTATCCTCACAAAAATCTTAAGTAGAAAATGCATTATTGTTCTCATTTTACAAGTGAATATACTGAGTTTCTGATATTGGTATCCCGATAAATGTTTTAAAACCAACTCTCTAGCCCTGGCTAGTGTGGCTCAGTTGGTTGGCTGTTGTCCTGTGCACCAGGAGGTTGCCAGTTTGATTCCCAGTCAAGGGCATATGCCAGGGGTTTAAGGCTCCATCCTCAGTGGGGAGTACGTAGGAAGCAGCCGATTGATATTGTGCTCTCACATCAATATCTCTCTCCCTCTTCCTTCCTCTTTCTCTAAAAGTCAATAAACTATTCTTAAAAAAAAACACACAACTATTTGGAAAAAAAATTTAAGGTTCTTTTTTATAGTATTTTCCTGGTGTAAATACTCTACCATGGCCTTTTCCAAGCTACCAACAGGTCACTGAATGCAGAGTTGGGAAGAGATATGAACCACTGCTTGGTCCTTGTAAGCCTGTACAAGCTGACTCCAGTTCAGCACTGGGTTCAGAGAAGGGAAAAGACTGGGCCAAGGCCACACAGATGGTTGATTCCTGAGCCAACCTTCCTTTTTATCACAGAGTGAAGCAATAAATGGTCATCTGAAAGCCTTTATTTAAAAAAGCAAAAATGTATGTATATCTGCAAGGCTGGACAAATAAAAAAAGATCAGGGGTCCCCAACTTGGTGGAAACTTTCACCCATGCATGCAGGTAGAGGGAGGAGCGGCCCCCCTGCCTCAGGGACCTCACTGCTCCATCCCCCTATGCATGTTCTGGAGGCCTGTCTCACATGTGACATGAATTTTGAATTTGGGGAGATTTATCTTGTGTGCCTAAACAAAACATTAGCTCTACCCACCCACCTCCCAAAAGAGTCATACATTTCTCAAGCTATTTCCAGCTCCTCTGCACCTCCTCGCAATACTTGTCATAACAGGAAGTCACTTTCATATACTGTAATAATCCCCAAACACGTTGTGCCTGCACATGGGGAGTGTTTAGGGGGGGGGGGGGGGGGCCCGGGAGGTAAGGTGAGGCCAGGTCTCCCATCTCTAACCTGGTGTGTCCCCTCAGAGGGCCAAGAGTCAGAAACTAGAATCCACATCCAGACATTGCTCTCCTTTCTCATGCAGTTGGCGGTTCTTTTATTTTATTTTTTTTTTTAATAAAGCATTTGAGTAGGCAGCAAAGCCAGCCAGAACTGTTTATTTATAGCTGTGGATTTTCAATGCTGTATAAATTAGAAATCGCTGCTGAATGAGGCCCGCGCCCACTCACACACGCAGGGCCGCTATCCGTGAGTCCTTTCATAGAGCTTGACTATACACAGTCTAAAATGGGAGAAAATGACATGCTCGGAGTCAAATGATGGAGTCACAGCTAAACTGCAAGGCAGAAAACCAGCAATTATTTTTCCTCAGCACAATATGGGGAGGACGACAGGTGCAATTATCCAATATTATTTAACAGCACTGGTTTGCGGTATGGGGAGAAAATAAAGGTTTCCGTGTCTCAGAGAGGAAAATAAGGGACAGAACCTGCCTCCTGGCTCCTTTCCCTGTGGATTAAGCTGTGTTATGTAAATGGAAACTGGCCAGGATTTCAAAAAGAAAACACAACCACCTGGCTCCCTCACCTTCCCCCCAGAAGTTCGCAACCTGTGCCATTGGGGACTTCTGAGAAAAGGCCCCTGGTCTTGGGGCCCTGAACACCCTCCCGAGGCTGCGGCTCCCGGCAGGCCTGTGAGGAAGCTGGGTTTGCTCAGTTCCTGTCCCCAAGAGGGAACCCTCTCCTGCGTTGGGTCTCCCTCCCTCCGTTGAATTAGGATGAGGCAAAAGAGAAGGGGGCCCCCAAGGAATAATTTTCATTTCCTGAATCAAGTCTCTGGCTTTGGCCGGCAGCACACTTTTCTTCCTACTCCTAAGCCTCTCCTTAAACTCTACCTGGAAATACCTCCTTCTTTCAGCTACTATGGAATAAATATGTTGTTCTTCATGGCTTCAGAACTTAATGGAACACCACTTCCTAGTTCTCCTAAAAAGTGTCTTCTTCCCTCTCAGACCCTGGGCTAATTACATTATTTAACCACCCCCCCACCCCCCCACCTCCAATCGCAGGCCACATCAGTCCTACACAGCATCCCAACCCTCTCTCCTTTATCTCTCCTCTTGGCTTCTGTTTCCATAAGAGTATGGAATGCTGGAAGAGCATAAGCTTCAGAAGCCAACCAGATGTGAATCCAAATCCTGACTCCACACTCACAATTTATATAGAACTTGGGGAAAATAGTTGACTTTTCTGAGCCTTGAAGTCACATGATAATACCTACCATAATAAAATACCATTATTTAAAGTGGTGGATGCACGTGCTTGGCATCCTAGATTCCTCATCCCACCCTGCTTAACTGCAAATTCCTTGAGGCCACGGTCATGTTGAGTTGTCTATATCCCCCACAAGGCCTGACCCAGCACCATGAGAACATACAGAAAATACTTACAGACGGCCTCAAGGATACTTCCAGCTTCTTTCCTATAAGCTTCCTCACCAAATATCTTCCTGCTCTCCTAAAAGTCAATATTCCCAATGTGAGACTCCCTATTTCGTTTAAGATACTCTCCTATCTTAAATCCTGGAATCCTATTAACAACAACGGTGATCAAGTTATAGTTCACGTGGCCTAGCATGGAAAGCACATTGGTAAAATGGGACACAGAACAAATAAATTTTGATAAAGAGGAAAAGCACATGCGGAATGGCCTGGAGAATAATGGTTGCATGCAGGTGAAGGGCTAGACTGTTACCCAAGGACAGCGTATGGGGTTTGAGGTTCCAAGTCAGGAAGACTGATCTTTAAAAGAGAAATGGAGCAGGGGGAGCACTGAAAACAAACCTTCTTTACATCATAATTTATTTTCCTTCAGGTGCCTGCTCATCCCTTCCTTACAGATGACATCTGCTCTCATTAAGACCTGGTCTAGTCTAACCCTTGTTTTATCATAACGGAGACTTCTTCAGCCACTTCTATGGTGTGATTCTTTAGGGACATGAGAAGGGTCTCTGCTTTTACTGCCATCATGTGTATCTTGCTAATGTACAATATCTATATATCTATATCTATATCTATATCTATATCTATATCTATATCTATCTTTCACTAGGGGTAAAGCCTTCCATGTGACATGGAGAGACAAATTTAACATGTAAATGCTTATGAGAGGGGTGACCTATTTATTCCTGTTCAATTTCCAACGAAAGATAGTTCATGATTTGAAAGCAAGTATTAGTATGGGAGGGGGCATGCTTGGCAGAGTGAAAATGGGGATATTTTGAGGAAAAGAACAGCTACAGAAAGGGTGAGCTGCAGACTTTGAGGACAGACCTTGCCTCGTTCACATTTTACCATGTAAGCTGCCAAGAGAAGGCTGGGTATGTATCTTGGCTCTCCACACCTCCCTGGAGAGCTAATCTGTGGTTGCGGTGCCCCAAAATAGAGCTAGACAGTGATCCTGGCCACTTGGGTCAATAAAATCCTGGATGCCTTTGGAGGAGTAGAAAGAGGAGGCCCAGCTGTGACATGTCACTCTTTGTTTCCAGTCTTGATTGCCTGCCTGGCACCACAGGAATTTAAACTCATTTTTTGGCTGGGGAGAGAAGTCAGTATTGGGCTGTCATCATTCTTGAGGAGAGGCAACAGAGCA